CAGACATTTTGATCAACAATGATTTCTATCAGCTTAATTAGCCATCAGCATTCTTGTTCCTTCTTACCTACTGCTCTGTTGGTTGACAAAGAAAAGATGACTCCAAGGCTTTGTTTTAGACTTTTGGAAAGTCGCATTGTGTAAGTTGTACACCCCATATAACTGAGTAGTAGGGCAATTAAACTATTTGCCTAGAGGCCTCGCCTATATGCCATATCTTTGGCACTTTCAGCCAAGCGTAAAAGAACACGCCTTCTGCCCTAGCATCTCTTGTCTGACAGCACAGAGGGGCAGCCATCAGGATTGGAAAGAGCTCTGCCTGACCTGAGTTGGAAAGGACTGGATCTGCCTCCCAGCTGTGCCTTTCATTAGCTCTGTGTTTGGGGACTGGTCATTTGTCCTTTCTGAGCCTCAGCCTTCTCCCTTTTAAGGTACATGGTATGAATAAAAAAAATACATCACACGATAAAAGAGAATTAAATAAAATACGTTTCTAACACACAGTAGGTGTACAATAAGATTTATATAAATATGCTATTTGTAAGTGAAGCTTAACCCTAAGTTTATGCAGCTTGAAAAATGGAAATTTCTCTAGTGTCACCTTGTTTGTAGATAAACTTAAAAATATGCTCAACACATTGGGCTTAATGTCACTCATAAACACTGTCAGACTATTAAGGGTGGTGAGAGATATAGATCAAAAGCAGTAAGTGCTATGAAAATTTCACAAAGAAATAAACTGCCTTTGAAAAAGCTATTCCAACTACCCATAGTTTAAAAGAAGTTTGTTCATTACAGTAATAGGACGTTTAGAACTACAGATTTTGTGCCCCCTCTCCGTTACACTGTGGTAGCACAGCTTAAGCACCTAGTAATAGAAGTGGGCACATGTCTGTTCCAAAGGTTTTTCTGTCTAGCCAAGCATTATGTTCAACAGATACTTAGCTAATGATGATCATGGACCAGGTAGGAACGAAGATGTAGCATTGGAGAGAGTCCTCAGATGAGAAACAAACCTGAGAGGGATACACAAACCATGTGCTGTGATAAGAGCTGTGAACACGCTAGGAAGGAGGCTCAGAGAAGGGAACTGTCTGGGGGTAAGTCTCAAACGGTAAGAGGTGATAACTCCTAATGGCAATCGCAAATTGATTTGTCAGAGAAAGAAAGAGGAACGTTCGGGCAAGAGGAACAGCCGTGCAAGTTCACTGCACTATAAGAGAGCGTGGTATACTTGATAACTACAAATAGCAGGAAACGGTTGGAAATGAGGTGTAGGGTGAGACATGCAGGATAAATAAACAAAAAAGAAGCCACATGGACGAGCTAGGAAGGGTCTTGTGTGCCAAACGTTTTTCAAAGACATTCTGAAAGCACGAGAGTGATAAAATATACCCAGAAGAAGGGTAACAGCATATTCAGAGGAAAGGGGAGCAGACACAGTTTGGTTTCTTCTGTCTCTAAGCCCTGGGGGTCCTCTAGGCATTCCAGGTGGGATTCTGGGTAGTGGGGGATCCAGGTGGTAACAGACGAACCCTGCCTGCTCGAGGCAGTCTCTGGGATCCCACATAGGAAAGGCATGGATCATGTACCAGGATGCCTGCGGAGCAGGTGGGAACGGCAGCAGGTTCTATGTCCCTTGGAGCACAAGGGACAGCTAAGCAGTAAGAAAGCAGTAGACGTGAAAAGGGGGTGTCCCTTTCAGATGGCTTCTGGATTGTTTGAGAGCTTCAAGCTCGAAGAAAACGATGGTAGTGCTACAGTTTCATAACAATTTTCACGCACTTCTGTCTGGGTCAGTGGAGCAAAGATGGAATGTGGTTCTGAAAACTCATCAGGGTGGAGTACCTCTGGGCTTTTCCTTAGAGTTGGGGTTTAGATCAACAAATCTGGGTAATGTCTTATGCCTAAAAGGTTAACTATATGGCAGTCCTAGGGAGAGGAGCTGGTGACCAGATATGGTGTTGGAGTTGCCAGAAACTCATAAAAGCTTGTGTGTCTTTCTCAATGTAAGAAAGTTGTTAGATAAAAATGAGATGTTCCAAAAGATGTCCAAGTTAGTAGTAAGTTTAGGGAGGACTGGAAGAAAGTGTTAACCAGCAGTGTAAGATGTCTTCTTTCTAAAATTCGTATGGTTTGTTGGCATGGTCATATGAGCAGCTCAGCTACAAGATGTACTTGGATCTTGGCGTCCCAGGACTTAGTTCAAGAAGAGACCCTCACTCAACAGAGAGCTGCTTAAAGGGAAAGATAATTAATGGAGAGGACCAATCTAACTGCTATAGATAAAGATGGCTAGGTGTTCCAAGACCCAGCGTGTAATCTCTGTGCAAGCACAGGCATGGTTTAGAAAATTATTGGTGGTAGGAGGCTTGACAGCGAGGGATTCCAGAGGTGATCCAACTTAGAAATCAGACAGATGCAGTCAGAATCTTGAGATCTGCCCTGAGGTGGCATTACTTCTGCCAGTGGTTGGAGAAGCATTCCGTGCCTCAACTAGCAGATACACTCAATTTCCTGAATTTATCTTGCTCTCTGACCTTTGGCTCTTGATTCATGCAGTTTCTTCTGCCTGGAATCTCCTCCAGCACCACCCTACCCTTCTCTTGTCAAAGAACTTATGCCATAATAACCACCTGTTTGTACATCTATCTTCCCCGCTAAATCATATACTACATGAGAACGGGGTTTGTCTATCTCGTTCTCCGTTTTATCCCTAATGTCTAGTACAATACGTGACACATGGTAGTTTCACATAAGCTGAATGAATGAATAAATGAACTAAAGAAAAAGAAGCTAGGTAGACCCAAGCCCACTAGCTGGAACGTTATTTAACAATCTGGATTCACATTTCTGGTCCCAGAGGAGAGCTAGCATCCTGTTTGGGGGTGACCTACACAGCACTTGGGTGACTAGGGACAACACTGAGGTCACACTGTGGTGATTCAGGGAACCCCAGGTCCCAGGGAAGATTGTACACAAAAGGAGACTTGTAAGTGAGATTGGAATTTAACCCCAATGACCAGGACTCCTGAACCCAGGAGAAATGGGCGTAGTTACTAGCCCCAGCTAATGGTTGTCCTGCCTCCACAAAAACGACCCAAAATGTGGTCTGCAACTGGGTCCTATCAGTAGATCCAATCTTAGGAAGTCAGAGAGAGAAAAGCAGGTGAGGAATGACGAGCAAAGAGAAACTGCGCAGAGAATCACAGCTGCTCTCTTTATCTAATCAGGCTGGTGTTCCAGGATGCTGAAGAATGTGAGGATAAAGACGTGCAGTCAGATGCTTTGGAGAGCTACAGTGAAGCATGGTTTGCGTGCAGTCCCTGACGGAAACTAAGGCGATAGTTTGTCATCCAAGCGTACATCTGCTTACTCACATCTGGTTAGTGAAGTCTACGATCCTCAGTTCCCACGTAGGCGAAATGGCATAATGTATGGAAAGTGCCTAGTACGAGGCTTCACATGCAGTAGATTCAGTAAATGCTACCTGGCATAAATGTTGGCACCAAGACTCAGACTTAGGTGAAGGGAACATTGTCACTTATTTTGTCCATCCCCCTCTCCACCACCACACACACACACCCTCTCAAACCACTGAAAAGACTAGTAACCCGCTACCAAAGGGCCCTGGAGCCATATGACCATGGCAGGCATGCTGCACACTAAATCGTTAGCAATTGCACACCCATATGTGTAGCCCAACTCTGACATTAGGAACAGGACATCAAGGACCATACGCTGCTAGTCCCCAAATTTGGTGGAAGTCCATCAAAATAATGACCTTTGTTCCTTTAACTATACCAGGGTACTTAATCTTGGCTACACATTAGAATCACCTGGAGTCCTTCCAAAAATGAATAATGCTCAGATTCAATCCCAGAACAATTGGCAACTTCTGGAAATAGGGCTCATTCATGGGTCATTGTCTAAAGATTCCAGGTGATTCTAATGTGCTAAGTATGCAGAGACCATGGACCATAGTGTTGGCACCACTTAGGAGCTTGTTTAAAATGCAAGATCTCAGGCTCCAACTCAGACTGAATCAGAATTTGAACTGAATTAGAACCTGCATTTAAAAGGGAGCTCCTGGTGATTCACAATCAGGTCAAAGTTTGATTCTCACAATATAATTATCAAAAAGACTTTTGGAAAAAATGCAGATTCTTGGGCTCTCCCCCCTATTTTTTTTTTTTGTTTAATCAGTCCAAGGAGGACCCAGGATAAGTGTTTTGAAAAATCACCCCTGAGTATATAAACTGCGCAGCCAGGTGTCACAATGCCAAGTAGGCAATGCCTCAGCGACAGGCTAATTTCAGCGGGCAATGCCTCTATGAAGGGTGCTATGAAAAACGAGGCTTAACAGTTCCTTTCTCTACGATTATGTCAGGATCAGCAAAAGATCGAATGGATTCGTCTAGTACGGGATGTGCAAGCGACATGTTTAAGAAATGTCTATTTCATGGCTCCTTTTTAAACATACATGTTATATTTTCTATTCCCTCCTTGTTAAAAATGTAACTGAGTAACGACTGGCCCGATTTGCATGGTGACAATAACCAAACTGGAACATGTTTCTCTTGGGGTCATGACTCATGTTCTAGTTTTACTTGGTGACAAATAACTTTAAATATTTATATGAACGCTAACATGGAAATATTACAGAGTAAAATATACATTCTTTTATGAATCTTAATGGTCAAACACAAGACTTCAAAGAAACGTTGTGCTTTTAGTGGACAGTTCGGGTTGTGCTTCAGACGTCCTCATGAAATGGATTTATTTTCCTTCTCCCTTTGGGACTACTTCAGAGGGAAAGTTTGAGGAGCATTGACCGATGGAATCATCTGAAATGTGACACCCGTAATTGACTTGGTTTCAAATCCTCAGCAGTTGGAGGATCTTGGCTTATCTCAAATGCCACAGATACTGTAGCATTTGTCACTTTCAATCCCAGCCAAGGGTCAAATGCAGGATGCTAAAATAAATTCTAAAAGTCATTTTTTGTGGTTGACTTACTTTATTCACATGATAGCTAGAGGGGCTGACAAAGACTTCCTTTAACATTTCTCTCTTCTGGCAGGTTGATTTACAGTTTGCTTGCTGAGTGTGGGTTGAAGGGATGTGTGGTGAGACAGATCAGGGGCTTGTTAAAATTCTATGGCATCGTGAATCCAGTTTACTTTTACCCTTGTGGCTTGTCTAACACATTTGCAGTAAGAGTTGGGGGATAAATCTAACACTCCCTGGCAAACACTTGGCAGCCCTTGAGAGCAGCATCTTTAGAGGTCACAGGATCGATCCTGACACTGGCGGCACCTCAGATGCTGTGCGTGCAGGTCAGAAGTGCCGTGAGGTGCCGAAAAAGGCATCCCATGACAGGAGTGGGAGCTCAGGGCACACAGAAGACAGCTCTGGAGCGTTGCAGTCAATTCCAGGAGCTGTGGCATCTCAGTACTGATAGGACCTCACAAGGAGCCAAATGAGGATAACCGTGATCAGGACAACGGTGAAGTTGAGACACAGCTCCCGGGTGGATCGCTCCATTCTCAGAGGGGCTCAGTGACAACTGAAGGCAGACTTCTGACGGCACTCCAGAGACCTCCTGTTTGTCCTTACCTCCTGACAGAAAGCAGCAGAGAAAACACAGGACATCCGTGAGCATTCTTTCCTCAAAGGAAATAGGAGCATTGTAGTAGAGGAACCTGTTACAGGCTGAATTGTGATCCCCCCACAAATTCATATGTTGAAATCTCAACCCCCAGCATCTTGGAGTGTGACTGTATTTGGAGATAGGACCTTTCAAGAGATGATTAAGTTGAAATGAGGTCATTAAAGGGGGGAGGGTATAGCTCAAGTGGTAGAGCGCACGCTTAGCATGCACAAGGCCCTGGGTTCAATCCCCAGGACCTCCATTAAAATATAATAGTCATGTGAAGACATGGGAAGAAAACAGGCCACGTGCAGGCCCCCGAGAGAGGCATCAGGAGGAGTCACTGTGCCAGCGCCTCGACCGCAGCTTTCTGGCCTCCAGACTGTCTTTGGACTAGAGCAGCTGCTCCTCCCTGGGTTTCCAGCCACCTTGCAGATTCTTAGCTTGCCGGCCTCCACAACCCCATGAGCCAATTACATACATCACCCCCGCCCCCCATAGGCTCTTTTCCTCTGAAGAACCCAGACTTACACAGAGAGCCTGGATTTTTTGGCCTGATGTCAAAAAGACAAACATAGCCCTGATTATTTTCTTGTGATAATTATATTGATGCTTTGTTGGGTTTTTTTGGAGGGGGGAGGTATTAGGTTTGTTTACTTTTTTTTTGGAGGAGGTACTGGGGATTGAACCGAGGACCACATGCATGCTAAGCATGCGCTCCACCACTTTGAGCTACACCCTCCCCCTGATGCTTTGATAAAATAAAAACTATTAAATTTTGCTCTCTCCAATTTCTGTGTGTGTGTGTGTCTGTGCTTGCTTTGCTAAGTTGGAGTAATAGCAAGCAAGTTCACCGAAACAACAACAACGAAATGTTATGGCTTAATGTTGCCCTTGCTTTGACTTACACGTAGAAGCAGGGCGCCGTAGTTTTTCAGATTTCAGGCTGACCTGTCTTCGTCTAACCCTGTGCAAGCATGAAGCACTTTCAGCAGCTGCTTGCCCTCTTAAGAGCCCTGCGTTGGGCACAGAGCCTCTGGGGTCAACCAAAAGTCCCTCACATAACAGACACTCAGTCCAAAGAGCAAGTGTTAACCTCATGGGTACTTCTATTTCAACAAGGGCCTGTGCCAGCTATTTTTAGTCAAGTCCAGGATGTGCTTATATTGTAAACACTTCAAAAAGCAAGGGTGGTATCTTTAGAGTTTGCACAGACAGTACATGCGAGAAATCACACTTTGTGAACGTGTGCGATGCAGTCGATAAGATTCTTACTTCCAGTGATGCGGCATAACTGGCGCTGTGTATAAGGTTTAAAGATAAAATTCTAGATATTGAGGACAAAAGTCCACTATGGAGTGAAAAAGTCGGGGGAAAGAGTGTTTTGTTTATTTGCTAAGGGTGGAGGTTCAGGGGGCAAGAAGGGTTGTTCGCAAGATGGTATTTTTAACCATTTAACCTCACTGAATTATTAACTATAATTACTGTATTTGTTTTACTATTAGTGGACCAAATTACCAATTGTATAAACCAGCTGAATGATCACTTTTCATATTATGTAATTGCCAGCATAATAGACAAGTTCAAATAAGATTGTATCCACCAGTAGGTTGTTGAATCTTGGTTTAAAGTATGGCCAATGATAATTGATTTATGTTTCATTTTCCTTTTAATTCTCACTTCTATTCTTGCCTTCTGCATGAGGGATATGGTAAATTTCCAATGAAAATCTTTATAAAGATTTGCTTGAAGCTGAAAATAAACAGGAAAATGAAGGACAAAAGAAGTAGCGAGAATGCAAACAGGAGCAGAGGGGAACAGGAAGATGACAGATCCAGGTGAGGAGCCTGGAAGCAAAGAAATGAGAATCTAAAGCAGATTCTTCCCTATAAATTTATTAATAAAGTTAAATCCTGGTCCAAATGACAATTTGTTTGGGTAAGTTCTGAAGAAATACAGAGATATGCAAAAAATATGAGACCCTATTTATACTGATTAAAGCAACTTAATTCGGGGAGGGCATAGCAACTGTCCCACCAAATCTGCTTATTTGCTTAAACTCTTGAATAAAAGAAATTATGGATAGTGGCCCAATGGGAACATACTCAGAAAATGTTGCCACAGCTTTGTTCACGTGACCTTCACAACTCCGTGACCTTCACAACTCAGGCAGGTTTTATCGTGATTTTTCTCTCTCCCAAGCTGAGAAACTGACTTACAGAGAGTGGGTAAGCTGTTTGTGTAATGACACATAGCAAGTGAGAGGCAGAGCTCAAACTGGCAGACTGGAAATAGCTGCTGGAGTTGTGGATGCTCCGTAGGAGTGATTACAGCAATGTGTTATTACTGCAGATATCTGCCCTGGCTAAACAAAGTTCGTGTAAATTTTCAACCTTTGGGAAAACAATTTGACATTTTTTATTAAGGTTTATAATGCTCATTCCCTTTAATCCAGCTATTTCCCTTCTACTGTAGAAACTCAAACACATATATACCAGGACACATGCACGAAAATGTTCATAGCAACACTTTCACAGTATTCCCCAGCTGGAACCAACTCATACGTCCACCAAGGATAGAATGGACGTGAGTTGTGGTATATTCATATATTTGAATGCTATAGGGCAAAGAAAATACATGATTGTATACGTATATAATAAGATGGGTGAATCTAACAAACACAATTATTGGGCCAAAGAGGAACTTACAAAAAACCCCACAGAATCTGACTCCATTTCTACAAAGCCTCAAACAGGAAACGCAATCATATTGTTTAGCAATGCAGACATAGATGGTAAAATTATAAAGAAAAGCATGGGTAAGATTATCTCAACAATCAAGATGCTAATTACTTCTGGTGTGGCAAAAAGGGGACGTAATCACGAATGAACTCCTGGGGTGCTGGCAATGCTCTGTTTCTTGACCTGGGTGATATTTATACAGGTGTTGACTTAAAATGATCGTTCAAATGGTAAGTTTTATGCAAGTCTCCAGAATTTTTCCGATAGTCTCTGAATTGACAGGTTACCCATCACACTTATTTCCTATGATTTACCTCTTACTATTTCTTGCACTTAAATATTTGTTGTTTTAAATACTTTTTAAAATTAGTAAAACACAGAATTCAAGTGAGAATGTTTGATGAATCCAACCCAATCAATACATATGCTAACTCTAAGGGGTAGGTTTTCCTTTCACACACATTTATGCCAAAATTAAGCAAAAACTCAGATTAGCTTCTATCTTCTAAAATCTTCCATTTTTCTGCTGTTAATCCACAAAGACAATTTTGGCTTCATTTTAAATCTTTCGTGAAGTCAAGATCACACCATGTGATCCAAAGTGATTGCTGTATGGTGAAATAGAAACAAAAATCCCTGAATAAACTGTTTGACTTTCTTTGAATGGAGACTTTGAAAAGATGGAAAACATACTTTCCTCTACGATGTGTGGGGGGAAAAATTTTTAACAGGAAAGGAGAAAATGCATACCATGAGGTGCAGATAAAGAAAACAAGAATCAATAACATTGACTTTCTACTTTAAGAAATACTGTGTACAATAGCCAACATTTTATAATAACTGCCAATGGAATATAACCTTTAAAATCATGAATCAGTATGTTGTACACCTGTAACATGTAATGTACATCAATTAAACTTCCATTAAAAATGAAAAAAATTGTTAAATGGTGAAAAAAGAAATACTCGGTACAATAGGCATTGCTTGTCTCATTAAGAAATGTACATACTCCTCTGCCCTTCTCATTTGCACCTTGCACACATATGCACACTGAACGCCAGGCATAAAGATCCTGCTGTTACCTGAACAGGGTCAAGGACACACTGGGCTGCGGAAGGCTTCTCCTGTCTCTCTCCAACTCGGGTTCCAACTCCTGCTCGTCTCCCAGGCTGTCTGGACTCCTGGACTCTGGGCAGGGCCTAAAGTAGTCCAAGGGAGGTGGCAATCACTGTGATGTCACTGATGAAACATCTCGAAGGAACAACCTCCAAGGGTTGGAGGCTATTTGTGTTTAGGGGGACGGGGAAATGTGTTGACTAAGACGGTTCCGTTGGCTGCCAGTTTGTATGAACAGCCCAGGGACTTAAAGTCTTTTCTTTCCAGTTGACATTTGGTGCAATTGATGTAGGTTTTAAATTCATCTTTTACATCTTCACGAATATCTCTAACATATGTTTAAAGCATCGTAAACCGAGAGTGATAGACTAATATTAGCAAACCATTGCTGCATTTGACTGCTCCCCTACTTGGCATGTGAGGGTGTAAAATGTGACTTCATTTAACCACCTGCGTTTTCAGCTTCGTGAAGCATGAAGAGTTCCCTGCCTTGCACACGTATACCCCAAACTACACACACAAGAACCAGAATTCAGCAGGCATCTTTAGCCCCTTCAAAACTGACTTTAGTCCAATTGGTGAAAGTTATCTCCCCAGTCACCTGTTCCACATAATTTTCCGGCTAAGCTGTATGTTGCAAGTTTACACATTAATATACAGTTTCATCTGAAACAGCTGTGGGAGCCATGGGTATGTATCTCTGTCCATGTACTCATACAGCAGTAAACTCATACAGCTGAGCTCGGTCATTTGAACAGATTGAGGGCAGCTGGAAAACTGGTCAAAACTAGTGAAAAACACGAGTTACAGAGTATATCAGAAAGAAATCAAATTGTATAACTTGCAAATATAAACAATGACTAAAACTAGACTGTTAAAATGAGTTTGTAACTAACATTCCAGATGTCTGGAGGTAAACGGAGCCTCTCAAGTGTTTAACTTGAACACACACCAACTGAACATGACCCCTCCCCCCCCCAGCGATTGTGTTCGTTCATCAAATCCTTTATTAGATGATGGAACACATCTCCCCTCTGAATACCCCAGTTAGGGTCAATCAAAATAATACATGCCCAGAAGACATGAACAAAATCCCCTACATCATTGTGTTCATAGCCAAAGCTTTCCCCTTCATTCCTCATGCCCCAGAAATATTACTAAAGGAAGGACTTTCCATTCCGTATCTTCATTTTGACATAAACCCAGTGATGGGGAATCTTAATACAACAACCTATTGTCACATGTAAAAAGACATCTTGTTGAAGTGACAGGTAGTACATAGTAATTATAGTGCTGTCAAACCTTGGCAGACTCCTTGAATGTAATCAGATTTCTTTCTTTTGTTTCCAAGCCCTTGCCATAGAATTTCAAATGCTAGAAATGTTTTCTACTCACTAAGCCACACCCATTCTTTTTTTTTAACCACTCAAAATTATTTCTTTGCCCAGTTAAAAAGTTCTATATTTATTGTAGGAAATGTAAAAATAGGAAAATATAAAGAAAAATTAAATTACCTTTAATATCACCACCCAGAAAGAAAAGTAATTTATATTATTTTTCATTCATGTTTGAGGTTGTATAGGCACCATTTCAAGTTTTTAAGATATTTTTGGTAAAGGAATCTGATGCTTGAAAAAAATCTGATTCTGTAAGAATCAAATTATTCATAACCTACCATCTGTTGTGGGACAAGCATTCATTTTGCTTACGTTGGAATAGGAATTAGCTGTACACTATTTAAAATGTTAAATACAATGGGGAAATGTTAACATATCACCAAACAGCTCAGCAATACTGTCAGTGTAACTGAACTGGTCAATTTCAATGCAACTTAAAGGAAAAATCTTACTGCTTATTCATGAGTCAGTTGAGTTTGTCTGCTTGGTTTTCCCATTTAAGTTTTTCCAACATTATACCAGGGGCTGCTGTGCCCAGGGCTCTGGCAAATTCCCAGACGGAGACTTCAGGAGCTTCTTAACATGAGCGGTTTATCCTGGGATGTCATGAGAGCGGGTGTCATGTCACTAGTTTGACCTAACCCTCTCCTGAAAGACAGGCAAGCGACCCAAAGTCACTTGGCTATTCAAGGGCCTAAGGCAGAGTTTAACCCTGAGGCTCTGCGAGCCTATTTAAAAACAATAACAGGAACAACATTGTTGTAGGTGGAGTAACACTTCAAACCTCTGTACTAAAGAAAATTCTCTCTTTACATCAACCTAACTTTGTTCTGCTGCTATTTTCTTTTCTGTGAGCAATTCCTGTGACTTAACATCCTGTATCAACTTCCTCTCCAAGTGTCAGTCCTTCCATCCTCAGGAGGACACACTAAATAATCTTTGACATTATTCCTATGCCTCTAATCTAGCATTCAGCCCAGGGCCAAAAGCGTTAAGAAAACAACACTCACATTGACCGTGGTACTGAGGAGCTAACTGGCATTTGTTCCCTCCACCCCACCACCATATACGTTCCTAAGTGCAAAATCGATTTTGAGCTCTTAGGCCTGCTTAAGAGCCAAACTAACTTGTGTAATTTATTTCCGATTTCCATCCACCTTTTTATGTGAGGAAGCCAGAAGTGAACGCTTCGTGTCAGTCCATGAATTCGACAAGTCTCTGACACAATGGGAGACTTCAGCAAGGCCTTAATGACAGACGATAAGCTCTCAGCCCATCACGGTGATGAGTAAGATGGTCATGGTACCCCCCTCACCTTCACATCTTCACGTCCAGATGGTCATGGAGCAGCTTTCTGCTTTTCTCTTTCATTATCCCAAACACGTGAGAAAGAGGAAACCATATTTCTTGAGGCTGTCTCCATGTCCTTGAAACATTAATAGTTATTATCTGTATTTTTAACCACTTGTGGCACATGTGCGATTTTTGTCTCACTAACTGAATTTTAATTTCAAAGGCAGAGATAGTTTCTTGTTTTTCTTTTGTTTCTCTAACTGTGCATCAAACTGGTGAAGAATCATAATAGATGCCCTAAACTATGTAACAAAGGGGCTCCATGTGAACCTCCATCACATCACGTCTCTGAGCATTCCAGGCAAACTGAGTGGGGGAGATGGAGGTCAATATCAAATCTACTCATAAAAGGACGCAGAAGCCACCTGGGAGAGAAAACTCCTCTAAAGGGAAGGACTGGAGAAGGTACACGTGGTTCAGCAACAGGGAGAATGGATGATGACGCCAATGCACAGAACAAATGCACTGTGTCAGTCTAGGTCCTATGAGAAGCAAGATGCCAGAACAGGACTAAATGTGCAAAAGAAAAAGACGTACTGGGGGAAATGCCTGTGAGAGAAAATGTGGGGGGGGGGGAACAGACAGTCACCAAACAGCAAAAGAAAGAGATAGGAAAACGGGAAGGGAGGTTGTGCGAAGCATCTTAGACTACAATTAAGTTCGAAGGAAAGTTTGCCAAGGCTGTTAGGAAACCTCAAATCAAAGCCATCTGTCAGCAATGTCCCATGTCCCCCAGGATGAGATGACCTTTGTATTCCTCCCATGCTCAATTATTGACTGAGAGCAGCCAGGGAAGCGTGGCCTCTGGGCAGACGTGACTATGATTTCAGAGGACAGCAGCTAGGGGACATCTCAGTGACGGTGCAGTCATGTCTGAGAGGCACGGTCCGTCACCACCACACCCACATGCTACCCATCCTGCCTCCCTACAGCTTGGTGTCCGAGTCCTAGAGGAAGCGAGAGCCATGGGCACAAACTCCATAACCCTTTGAACAGTTAACCTCAACGGTGTGGAACACTGAAAGGGACCGAGACATTCTCCATCTACCTGTGCCATCTCGTGGACCTCAGTGCATCCGTGGAACCAGCAATGGAATATCCTTCCAATGAAGTGTCACGGAGCCTGGCAGAAGCAGAAATACGACTCAAGACTTCCTTGCAGTTTATATTAAGCTGTGTGGCAGATGACAGCAGAGACAGAGCTTGGGCTAAAGGGCAAGAAAATGGCAGGCGCCATGTGGTCGCCGACAGTACGTGTGCACGAGCACATGTCACCCACTCCCTAAGGCTGCCAGAAATAATCGAGAGGAGCACTGCAGGGGCATGCAGCCTTGCATAATAGGTGGGAGCAAGAGCCAGAAAAATACGTATTAGTCCTGTTTACAATAACCCATTTTAAGTCCTGGATTGGTGAGGTGACACCTGTTAACATCATTTGACTTGGAACCAATTAAATTCCTCTTCTCTGGAACAAGTGTATTTCTGCTCTATAATAAGATTCTGCAAGCAAACAGCTTTCTCTCGGCCCATTAAAGATAGCTGCCGAAGAGGGGAAAAAAGAAATAAGAAGCAGCCAAAAATGTGTTTACTACTAGGCTAAAACCATCTGCCCTCAAAACACTCCCAGATTTCAGATGGCCTGTGTTATTTTTCTGATGGGAAATAAAAATTCAGCTGTCGTTTGCCGTGCTGTTACTGAACAGTTCAGGGAGATTCTAGCCAGACACACCCACTCGAAACATTCTGTCCCTTAGTGAATTTGATCAAGGGTATTTTAGCTGAATCTCTCTTGAGAAGCTGTCGGTTAGAATAACACAATTGCTGTTTTAGTAAGAATAATATGGATCAGACAAAATTGCTTCTTGTTCTCTCCAAACGAGCCCATTTGGCTTTAGCCTTTGGCTATTGGAGCAGGGAGAAGACAGTCATGAAGATCTCTCTTTGATCTCTGTGAAGCTAATGAGAAAACAGAAGTGCTTAGCTGCAATATTGTGGAAGAAGATTAGCTGGATGCAAGACACAGGCTAGGTTTCCTTTTGGAGGAGGGCAATTGGGCACTTGTTCTGCAGCCTGAGGAGTAACCTAACCTTTTACACTTTTACAGTAAGTGAATGTGGAGTTGCCAGGGGCTGGTATTCCGGGAATTTGGGCAGCTTATCTGGCAGAGGTGTTTCAGACCTATTCGCTAAAGCTTGGATTTTGTTGGTTCTTGCTCCCCATTTGCCAGTGTAGAACAGAAAAAGAGGCCCCCACCTTTATATCTGTGTCTTCATAGGGGTACACATTTTGTGCTAACATGCTAATTTTCCTTCTTCTACTCTATCCCTCTTTTGCTCGATGTTACGTCACTCACCAGGCACTTACAAGTCACCCACCCTCACTGAGTACCAGCACAAATACAAGACATCCCTGCTGCCTTCTTTGTGAACAATCATATCTGCCAAGAACTATTACTGCTTGTCTTGGGCATCGACCATGCCTACAAGACATGGTACCTCTGCTGGTACCACAGCTATCGACACTGGAGGCACCAACGTGACTCCTACTTCTAGAGCGAGGTGAGGAGTTGGGTTGGGGAAGTGGGCCTCTTCCTATGTGTGACGCCCTGTTGAGGGATGCTAAAGGAGCACTTCCTCACTGTCACCCCAGTGTCTTCCCAGACAGAGAAGCTCATGGGCAGGTTCGGCCTGGGGATTCACAGAACAGGCTTCTTGTTATCTCACAGTCTACTAAGATGCGGTGCAACAGCAAACCTTCCTTCTCCTAGGAGAAAACACCCTTGATCAAATCACTACAGGACAGAACGTTTCACGCCGGTGTGTCCGGCTAGAATCTCCCTGAACTGTTCGGTAATTAACAGCACATCAAAAGACAGCTGAGTTTTTATTTCCCATCAGAAAACTTCTCTCTCAGGAGGGGCCTAAGATCCCAGAGCACACCAGCTGCTGTCAGGCTCGCTCTGGCAGTGAATAAACCTGCACTCATCATCCTGAAGGACAGCCCTGGGCGCAGGTTAGGCACGAGCTGAGATCCTCCTACCACACCCGTGCCCTCACCCAGCATGTGGTGCTATCTACCAATTGTCTTTCCATTGGAGTCCCAGTGAAAATTGGCTTCTCTGCACTACAGACAGAAAACATATCACAGGGAACTATACTCAGTAACCTATGCTAACCTGTAATGAAAAAGAACATGAAAATGAATATATGTATGTGTATGTACGACTGCACTATTGTGCTTACACCAGAAATGGACACAACATTGTAAACTGACTATACCTCAATAAAAAAAATAATAAATAAATAAATAAATATTTAAAATAGAAAGCATATTATTTTTTATTTCTGTGCTTTCCTGTAGCTCCCAGATTAGGTTCAAAATCTTTAGCTCCAAAATGTTCATTGACACATGACTGGATAAAGAAATTGTGGTACATTTATATAATGGAATACTATTCAGCCATAAAAAAGAATAAAATGATGTCATTTGCAGCAACATGGATGGACCTGGAGATTATCCTTCTAAGTGAAGTAAGCCAGAAAGAAAGAGAAAAATACCATATGAGCTCACTTATATGTGGAATCTAAAAAAAAAAGACAAATGAACAGAAGCAGACTCACAGACATAGAAAACAAACTTATGGTTACTGATGGGGAAGGGATGGGAAGGGATAAATTGGGAGTTCTAGATTTGCAGATACTAACTAATATACATAAAATAGATAAACAACAAGTTTATACTCTATAGCACAAGGAACTATATTCAGTATCTTGTAGTAATCTATGGTGAAAAGAATATAAAAATGAATATATGTATGTTCTTCTATGACTGTGCTATACACCAGAAATTGACACAAAATTGTAAACTGACTATATTTCAATTAAAAAAACTTTAGCTGCAAAATATCCATTGCCAGAAGACTGGATAAAGAAGTTGTGGTATATTTATACAATGGGATACTACCCAGCCATAAAAAAGAATAAAATGATGTCATTTGCAGCAACATGGATGGACCTGGAGATGTCATTCTAAGTGAAGTGAGCCAGAAAGGGAAAGAAAAATACCATATAATATTTCTAATATGTGAAATCTAAAAACAAAAAAGAAAGAAAGAAAAAAGAGACCACTAATGAACCCATCTACAAAACAGAAACAGTAAACAAACTTATAGTTACTGGGTGAAAGAGGGTGGGCAGGGATAAATTTGGGAGTTTGAGATTTGCAAATGTTAACCACTATATATAAAAACAGATTAAAAATTTTTCTCTGTATAGCACAGGGAATTATATTCAATATCTTGTAATAACCTTTAATGGGAAAGAACATGAAAATGAATAAATGTATGTATACACATGACTGGCACACTGCGCTGCACACCAGAAATTGACGCATTGTAACTGACTGTACTTCAATTTGGAAAAAAAAAAAATCTTTAGCTGCAGAGGCAAGGCCCTACGGTGATCTAGCTCCTGAGCTCTCTGACCTCCTCTGCAGCAATCCCAAATCTGCAGGTCTTGGACGTTCTCTCCCTGTGTGCCTGTGCCAGTCCCTTTGATTATACCATCCTTTCCCCCGTTCCTCAACACCCCCCATCTTTGTTTGATGTTTAATAACAGTACTTGATTCAAGAGTCACATTCCCTGATCCTCAAGGCTGGGATGGATGAACCTTTGTGATCTACATAGCCCTAGACACCACTGCTTTCACTGTATTGTCAGTACTGACCTTTCTGTCCATCCCTGCCCCTTAAGAACAAGGCCTGTATCTCTCACCCATGCAGACCCAGTGGCTAGGCATGTAGTGCTTGCAGTGCAGTGGGCATTCCATAAAAGCTTGCTAAATAAACATACACATAGGGGAAGGTAGTTCATTAATAACTGTTCAGCTCTGGAGAGTCACAGGCAAATCAATGTTTCAAAAATAAAATGCTCTGATTTTTCACCAATTTACATGAGAAAAGACAGCGATGTTTACAAGATCTGTAGTAACTTGAACTACTCAGGATTTCTTGATCTAAGAATAGTATGTTCTAGGCCTCCTACCATTGACTGGGTCTGACAGCTGCTTTTTAGGTTGGCACATAATATCCTTTAAAGGGCTAATTTTCTCTGCTGTGGAAGTTGAGCAAGAAACCATTGTAATGTGCTGTTGTAGATTTTTTTTTTTGAGAAAAGTTTAGAATTTAGAAATGTGAAATAACTTCAATGTGCCTACCACACAAAATTAACAAATCTTAGTATCTTTTGTTACTAAATTAGGTTTTATGGACCCCACCTTGGGCCCCAGCCTTGCCAAGGCTCCCTTTGCCTCAGCAGAGAAAGTTCTTTTTCCCTTAGGGTTCACACAGTCAAAAACAAACCCAAAGCTTGAAGACTAAAGCAGTACAAGCTTTATTCAACGGTCAGAGAATGAAGAAGTGGGACCTTAGTTCACAAATCAATTTCTTGCTCAGGGGATGATTAAGACAAGATTATAAGGACAAGGTTAGCGCATTGGTTTAATGCGAATGTGGGGGCCCTTCTTGGAACTGGGGTCCCGCCTCTTTTCTGCTCTTGTATGGTTTTTTGGCATCTGGGTCAGAAGCCGGTCAAACCATCATGGTGCAGACAGGAAGAGCTCTTACCCAACCTGATTGGCTGGTGGAGAGGTGATCAGGAGTCAACATCTCCAACTTGCGAGTTTCAGCCGGCCTGGGGTCCACGTGCTTGTGGTCAGCACACAGTCAGCTTCTTCCACACGGAGGTGGAAACAGCTCAAAGGACGTGGCTTAGGATGTTATTCATAGTCCTGGGAGGAGCTAAAGGTCTTTGACTTTGTTTAATGACTAAACTATTATTATTTTGTCTTGCTTGCTTGTTTTCCTTTATTTCTGCATTTTCTCAATTTTTTGATTAAATGTATTCTCTGTAACTCAGGGAAAGCCTAGGAGGCTAAAGTTTTCCTACAGACAAGAAGCAGGCGGAGGACATGAGGGGGAGTCTGTCCCAGGAAAGCCCCAGAGGATCCGGCTTGGTTACATTTTCATATTGTTTCATGTCTTTAACAGATTTAAAATACAGATGA